TGGTTGGGTCTGAGCGGCTGTGGGACTGGCGGGTGACAAAGATTTGTGCTGACTGTGGGCAAGGCAGGAAAACTCTAGCTACAATGCATCTATGTTTTGTTTGGTTACATTATGCTATGATACTAAATAAGGGAGTTTGCCACGGATATGAAAATTGGTTTCTTCTCTTGTCCCTGGCCAGTTGTGTTAGCCATCAATGGCTTTCGGAACTGACAACCCAGAGAGTAATCTCTAACTACAGATGCAGGGGCTACTGTGTCACCCAATGAAATGAGTTGGGGGGAAGAGAGACTGGGAAAGAGGGTGACTACTCAACAGAGAAGCAACTTTCTTCATGACCATGAGCAACTGAGTGGCCTTCTGTGTGTATAGTCATGCCAGGATTACAATTCCTAAGATCTTGTCTGTGAACAAAAGAGGACAGTGAGAGGGGCCTATGGCCAGGCAAAAGGATATTTTAATCTTAACATGCACCAGCTTGACTTAGCCTATCACTTAACAAAAGCACACAATGATTCAATCTCAATAGTAATTTAGTCCACAGTCATAGGAGACAAGACTACCAATGTAGACAGATTTGTAAAATTCAGGTGCTAGGGATTAGGGCCACCTGTTGATGTTAATCTTGAAGTTATAATGTTAATTCCATCGTGTAACTGAACATAAACACTACACATTTATCAGTCTTTGGGACCTCGAGCTGCGGAGATGTGAATGGTTGCCTACATAGTACCTGCAACTCTCTCGAGGCTCTATGAATCAATAGCAAATCTAGTGTCTGCTGGAATTCCGATTCAATATGCAGGAGCATATGCTTTGTGGTCATCCCCCTCAGAGCATCTAATTTTTCTGAGGACTGATGAGAGAGTGAAGAAGGAAAAAAAAAGTGTCATAGTGTCATGTGGCAGTGTGGTGAGGACAGGAAGCCCTGCCTGAGGGAGACTGTGGAAGATCTCAAGCAAAACTGAATGCACCAGCAGCTTCTTGGTGTTTATAGGGACGTGCACCTCAGATGGCCACTGGCAGTGGGAGCTCTGTCCACTTGCTGGCTGGAGCCACAGGAGCAGTAAAGAGGATCACCAGAGGCCGTTTGAGCAGGTTTGCTTTAGTTTCTTGGGACAAAGGGACACGACCCCCTGGTGTTCAGGACACGACCCCCTGGTGTACAGGACGTGACCCCCTGGTGCACAGTTTGCACTTCTTGCTTTGCTTGGTGTCGTGGGTGCTATGGTGCAACCTTGGAGTGGGACTTGTGAGATGGGTTTCCTTGCTTTTACCCTCCCTCCCTCCCTCGGCCTGCAGTGTCAGGTTCACTGATGTGTGCATACCACCATGCCCTGGGAGACGATGGTTTTCTAGGGTGAATTGCGTAGATATTGGTAACTGAGAGAGAAAAGGCCGCCTTCTGCCAAGAATGCCCACTCACATGCAGCATTTCTTAAAGCGTGCAAAGGCTGTTGTTCGCCTAGTCACACAAGGCTCCGCACACTGAAACTGCCATCAGCACACCTGTTTACAGGAGCGTTTCCGAAGATGACTATTAGACTGGTAGTCCTCCTAGTTGGGGACAGTTGAACACTGGGTTACAGAAGGAACGAATTATTTGGAATACCTTCCCATGTCCACCAGAGCTTGCAGGGTGTTGCTCCTCAGACATTTCCTGATCATGTACATTTCCAAAATTTGAGATAGGTTCCCACTAAACAACAAGTGTGAAAATCCACCACCACACTTGGTTTGTCACATGCCAGTGACCCCCCCCCCCTTAGGCCTACAAC